GCCTCAAAAAATCTATACAAAATGCCCCTATCCAAGATCATTCATCATCCCCAACCCCAAGATCTACATCACTCAAGTCATCTTCATCTTCTAATATCAAAAGTTCTTCTTCTTCATTATCTTCAATTTCATCCTCATCTTCTATTATTGATTTTCCCTTACCAATCTTGGCATTCAAGTTTCTTGGACCTATGTAATCAAAAGAAATAAGAAAATAATAAGGTCTAGTTCTAATTCCAACTTCCAAGTTCTAAACTAACTTTTAAATATAAATAATTACCTCTCTTTCTTTTCTTCTTTGGAGCTCCCTCATCAACACCAAAGCACTCATGTACATCCATCCATGAGGCATCAATAGGCAAGCAAGGATTCTCCTTTTCGGTGATCCATTCATCATCGGATTCAATATCTGACAAACATATGGGATCATAGGTATCTCCATTCTCTTCTCTACTATTTTGCCTCATCTCAAGTTGAAGATTATATTTGACATATACAAGTGCATTTAATCTTTGTTGCTCCAATCGATTTCTTCTCTTAGTATGCACTTGGTCAAATGTACTCCAATTTCTCTCACATCCCGTGGCACTACATGTAAGACTCAAAATTCTCATGGCCACCTTTTGTAACTCTTTACCTCTTCCACCGTAACTCTCCCACCAAAGAGCTACAAAAAAAAATGTATTTATTTTACAAATGTAGTTATTAATTATTATGTATTATGTTTATGATATTAATAAAGAGTAAAAATTAAAGGGATACCCGGTTGTTTCTTATCTCTAGTAGCTATTGCCATGTCCATTCCAAAGATCTCCTTAGCTCCCTTAAACTTTTCAAGTTGTTGATCTATTATAACTCTTGTCCTTATATCCGGAACCATTCTTTGAAAGGTTTCATATAAACCAATTAACACTTCACTATCCGGATTGAAGTTCTTGTCATAATGATACCTAACCAAATAAGAAATAACTTAGCTACTAGGCACAAAGAAAATAGTAGTTCTTAAAATGATAATTATTTTTAAATAATTTACCTAGGATTGAGATAATAGGCAGCTGCATGAAGAGGCCTATGAAGCTGCAGATTCCACCTAGTGTCAATAATCTTCCACACTTTTTTATACCTTGACTCTTGCATTTGAAAGTTTTGAGCAATTTTCTCTTTAGCCCTATCCATTGCTTCATAAATGTATGGTGAGGCTGGCTTTGAATCACCATCTACAAGCCTTAACACTTTCACAAGTGGAATCACGCACTTTAGACAATATGTAATTGATCTCCAAAATCTATCATCACTCAACACTAGGTTCATGACTTGCTTAGCCTCACTTTTACTAGCATGTGGACTAGTAGCCCATTCCTCCGATGCAAACATTGATCTAAGAGCATTCTTTTGTTGTTTAATGCAATTTAGTGTAAGATAAGAAGTTGCAAATCTTGTCACAGCTGGTCTTGCTAATTCCCCTCCATTGGAATATTGTCTATACAAATTAAGGACCCATGTATGCCTATATATGTAGGTAGTAATCTTCTTTGCATTAGCAATGGTATTATAGAATACCGGAAGCTCTCCAATGTCCTCAAGGATTAGATCAAGGCAATGGGCTGCACATGGGGACCAAAATAGTTTGGTTCTCTTCTCCATTAACATTTGTCCAGCAGCCACAAGATTAGAAGCCCCATCCGTCACAACTTGGACTACATGCTCCTCCCCAATTTCTTCAACAATGTTGTCTAACAATTCAAACATTTTTTTCCCATCCTTTATCACATCACTAGTATCAATAGATTTCAAAAAAACAGTCCCACTTGGACTGTTAACAAGAAAATTAGTGAGTGATCTTCCTTTTCCATCCGTCCAACCATCACACATCAAGGTGCATCCCCATTTCTCCCAATCACTTCTATATTTCTCTAAGCTTTTTTGGATGTTGTCAACAGCTTTCTTCAAAAAAGAAACCCTCACCTCATGATAAGTTGGTGGCTTCAAACCTCTCCCATATTCTCCAACAACCTTCAACATTTGAATAAAAAGAGGACTCCTTACCAAATTAAATGGTAATGCATTACCATAAATGCATTTACAAATTTCTTGAATCACAAATTCCCTATCTTTACAAACTTCATTCATTGTCTTTTGTTGGAAAATTTTAGATGTTCCCTCTTTTCCTTTTACTGTCCCATTCTCTATATTCAAGCAATCCTCTTTCTTTTTATCTTTAGTTTCCAAGAGCTTGACAAATATTTCCTTCACATCATCCGGAACACTTGTGCAAGCAATCACATTTTCCTTTGTTCCAGCAAGATGATGTTTCATCCTTGAAATACCACCCCAACAACCATGAGAACAAAACTTACATTTTACTTTGAGTCTATTTGGAGGGATACTATCACAATAGTTCCAAGTGATATCGGGCTCTCTTTTTGAATGACCCATTTTTTAATGGCCTACCAAGTACCAATAAATAGAAACTTAGACAGCAGCAAGAGAGGGAAGTTGTAGAGGGAATAACAAAGAAAAAAAGAGAGAACAAGTGAAGGAATGGACCACAAACAGCAACCCAAACAGCAACAAGAAGGAAGCCCTTACCTTGGACCACGAACAGCAACCCAAACAAACGAAGCAGAGAAGTTGAACCACGCAAATGGACCACAAAAAGTGAAACCCACTAAGTGGGTCATGTACAGGGAGTATAAGCGGCAGTTTCTGTCTCATTTTGTTTTTTTTTATTTAAAAAAAATCATTTTTTAGGGTTTTTAGAACCGGGTCATGCATGACCCGACCCGGTTTCGGGGGTGACCCGCAATGTCCAGAATCGTGCGATTTCTCCTTAGAATCGCGATTTTCCGATTCCGAACACGATACAAACGATTCGCATACGATTCGTAATAAAAAACGATTCAACATGCGATTCGAATCGCGGAGCCTCGGAATCGTATCGTACGATACGAATCGCAAATCGTGCGATACTTACTACCATGATCTAGATCATTCTTATTTTCTTTAATTTCTATTCTATACTGTTTGAGTAACATACTGTTAATGGCATTTGCTTTAAATGTTGTGCAGGACGATGCACATATTTTCTGCAGGGAGTCCCAGGTGAGTTCAGCTTTAAATTTTTGCTGCATAAATCTTTGAAGTCTCTTTAGAGCTGAATTTTGAGTTATTGATTTTATTTTACAGATCAAGGATGAAGTGAGAAAATGCCTGAATTTCATCAATTATGTCTATGAAATATTTGGTTTCACATATGAGCTGAAGCTCTCAACGGTATACTTTTGATCTTAATTGTTCTTGATGCCTATGTGCCTTTTTCAATGCTTTTAAAGATCTCGAGTTTCAAAGTTTAGTCCTCAAAGTAAGGTGCTCCTAATTGTTCTTGTCTGAACTGTGAGGATTTTATTATGCAATACCATTTATTCTGACATTTTCCTGCAGTAGATTAAACTAAAATTATGGCTACACAGATAGCTTATTTAATTTCTAAAGTAATATAGAATTTTGATTGTGGGTCCTTTCTCTCTCATGTATTCAACTACTCATAACAATTAGCCGGTGAACGACTTTTTATGTATACTGGATAAATTTTGGAAAATCAATGTATTAATTATTTTATATATTAGTTTTTTGCTATGGTAACTTCATGTGCAGACTTTCGTTATAGTTGAATAACTTCCATGTAGCACTGATACTCATAAACTCTTAGCAAATTTCTTTTGCCTTTGTATCCTAGTTCCCAGTTAAGGAAAAAACAGATACTGTTTTTATGAACCAATACTTGTTTTTTCTCTTTCAACTAAAGATAACAATAACATCTGTTTCTTAACATTTTGTTATTTGTTTTTTGTATGTGTTGAATACTTGAGTAGAGGCCAGAGAAATATCTAGGAGATTTGGCAACTTGGGACAAAGCTGAAAGTGCTCTTAAGGAAGCTTTAGGTGATTTTGGCAAGCCTTGGCAGGTAATTATTTCCTTTTTTATGTGTCCTAGAATGTTTCATGCTAGCGATATATAGTTAGATATTGTTTTGAGCATATGGTTAGAATTCTGATTAGAACTAATTTGGATTGGATATTCAAAAGTGGAGGTTGCCTATCTCATTTTCAATTCAATTATAGGTTTTCCTCATGCCATTTTTAATTTCTGATTGAACTCAGTATTATTGAAAGGGAAATACAGAGATTAGCTCAGCGATATATAGTTAAAGATTTTGTTTTGAACTTATAGTTATAATTCTGATCAGAACTAATTTGGATTGGACATCCAAAAGTGGAGTTTGCCTATCTCATTTTCAATTCAATTATAGGTTTACTTCATGCCGTTTTTAATTTTTGATAGAACACCTATTATTGATTGGGAAATACGGAGATTAGCTCCAACAGATGGCCCTCTGTTATACAAAGATGACAGCAAGATCAAATACCCCCCAAAACAGATGCTCAAGGGTACCAAATCCCAAGCAAACTCCTAGACTCCTCACAATTCACTCAACAGTTGCCTACCCCCAGTTTTCTCTCCTTTCTCTCATCATAACAGCGAATACTGGAACTCAGTGTTATTAAAATCGCGATTTAACTCGTGAAATCGCACGACTATACGTCCCAAGAATGGGTTCCGTGCTAAATTGGAGATAGAATCGCTGGGTGGTAGGATCGTAGCGAAATCGCGATTTTTCTTGCAAGAACGTATAATCGCCGATTTCCAACGATGTTGAAAAACCTAAAAAAAATATTTCCTTTTCCATCTGTCTTCTTCTCCGTTAAATCTCCGTAGATCTGTCTTCTGTGGTGGATCTCCGTGATCTGTCCTCTCTGACAGCGGCTCTATCTTCTCCGGCATCTGCAGATATGTCTTCATCTAAGAGGGAAGGCAGCGGCGGCTTGATGCTCACGATTAAGGGTTGCAGGAAAAATAATTAGTGTTGGAAAAGTTGGGCCAAATGGGCCAACGTTTATTTTATCTTTTGATTTGGTTAAGGGAGTTTTTACTTCACTATTTTTTTTTAGAAAGTAACTTCTCTTAATTATTAATTATTATTATAATTCAGATAATATTTTAAATAATAAAAAATTTAATATAAAACCTTAGATATTTTGTTTTCTTAATTTTTTTTATTTTGTTTAACTTCTATAAATTTTTATTATTAAAAATATTTAATGTATAAATTATGTTATGTTTAAATTTTTATATGTATATTATTAATTCTGATTATGAACTTTTTATTTATATGTATTACACGATTTGAATTACGATCTTTGAGTTACGAGTTTTTACCTCTTTTCCGATCTTAGATAAAATCTCGATTTTAACAACCTTGCTGGAACTATTTGTTTCTCCAGTCACATCTCATGACAGCTGGGCTTGCTGTTAACAACCTATAGTATAGATCCCCTTGTGTTCTTCTGTACTGTACAGACCTGTTCCTCCAATTCTGCTAATTCCCTCTTGGTTCCTCTTTGTATCACATGGCCCAATTTGCTTCTGTGGCCCATTTCTTTCTATGGAGGACAGCCCACAATTTTTCTTTTTCCTCCTATAGTTATGGGCAAAGAAAGGGTATATGTATATATCATACCACTCTCTCACACCATTTTTTATTTTCTCAAACTTTTATTATTTTCTACAGAATGTGGCATTTGTGAATTTTAATATCTTTGTGCTTATATTATTATGTGAAAAACCTTGCAGTTGAATGAAGGGGATGGTGCATTTTATGGACCAAAGATAGACATCAGTGTTTCTGATGCATTGAGTAGGAAATTCCAGTGTGCAACTTTGCAGGTTTGCACTGTTAGCTGGATTTGCATCCACACGATTCAGTTTTGGATACCTTTTTATCTGATAGTTAGATGAATGTGGTTTCTTGCAGCTTGACTTCCAGCTTCCTGATCGTTTTAAGTTGGAATACTCAGCTGAGGATGAAGCCAAAATTGAGAGACCTGTAATGATACACAGAGCCATTCTAGGATCTGTTGAACGCATGTTTGCCATACTTTTAGAGCACTACAAGGGTAAATGGCCCTTCTGGCTCAGTCCTCGTCAAGCGATTGTTTGCCCTGTCTCCGAGAAATCACAATCTTATGCGCTGCAGGTATTAGCTCTTAATTATGGGCTTTATTTTATGGTAGGTTTGTATTATAACAATTATATGATACTGATGATGTGTACTGCTTATCATGTGACAACACTTCTAATTTCATTGGAGAATATATTTTTGTGGCATCTCATGTTTTTCATGCCTGGATAATTTCTGAGCTTATGGAACATTGGCCTTCTCTTGTTTATTGCTGAGCTTATCTGCATCATGATGAAATCATTGAATCAGACTGGTTTCTTGTCATTGAATTATGTTTAGAGTCCGTCACATGCATGTTTAAGTAAACTTCCAGCTGTCCCAAAGTTCAAGCAATGTTCATCGAATAGTTCAATAGCTTAGAGGCTGTTTGTACTTTGGTTTGTGGAAATATTTTCTATTTTCACTAATTATATAAAAATCCATCTTGTACAGTTATTTGAAAATAGGAACGAACTGGAAACATGACATTTTTGTAATTACTAGCAAAAAAAAGAAAACGTTTCCTTAGATCAAACAGGCCATTGACATATAATTGTACTGTTTCTAATTTTTGTTAGGATACTTGTACCACTATATTATGATATGATGTGAAAGGCAAGAGCTTGTTGATTGTGTAATATATTCTTGCACTGCAATTTTCTAGGTGCGAGATCAGATCCACCAAGCAGGGTATCACGTTGATGCTGATACAACTGATAGGAAGATTCAAAAGAAGGTAACATAAACCTTTAGGCCCAAGAATTTTAGTACATTGTTTTAATATTTTTCCCAATGGAATGTTTTGCTATACTGCCCAGTGGAATGTGAATATTGATGGTTTATTTGAGTGGTATTACATTTGAAATATGGAGAAACTCGATACTCCTGTGGTTCATATAACCGTTTAGATAGAACTCTGATTGGTTGCGAAAGTGAATTTTTTTATCACTGATGGTATCTTTTTTCTGCCTCAAGGCTCAAGATGTTGCCACTAGTCAGTTACTGATGAGTTAAGCTGTGTTGTGTTTAGTGTTACCCTTGCACGTTGCTAAAGTTTATATTCTTTTCTTGTGATATTAAACATTTAAAATTTATTGCTTGTAATGAATTTTTTTCAAGTTGTTTTATATATTTAAAACCTGAGAATATTAAAATTGGTTTAAATAAAACTAAACTATTTATTTAGCCCCCTAGACACATTGACTTTACATCAATTTTATCCTTCAAAGACTTGTGATGTCAAACAAAAATTTTCGTGTGTTAATATTTGGGTGATTATCACAACTTTAGTAGACTAAATGTTCAGTGAATCTGTAATCGAGATTTTTTTCTTTTCAACTTTTTTTAAATATGCTTTACTTTTATTATTAATCTAGTATGTTGATAAAAGAGAATTGTCTTAACTAGAAGTTGTGGCATTCTGCAGGTGCGAGAAGCGCAGTTAGCACAATACAACTACATCTTGGTTGTCGGAGAGGAGGAAGCTAATACAGGACAGGTTCTTCCTTTTTTCCTTTTCATTAATAAATTGGTTGTGTAATTAGATTTCAATTCTACCCCTTTAAAAAAACCCTCTACCCTTTTCTCTCTGACATATGGCTGTTGTCAAGCACAGTTTTTGATGAACTTCTCATACTTGGATCATTAAGTTGGGGCGAATTAGAAGTAGTGTATAAAGGAGAAAGCAAGCTTGTTTATATGAGCGCACAAATAGTTATACATTATATTTAATTAATGTTACATGTACACATGTCTTGTGCAAAACATATAACATCATTCAAATTTAGAAACTGAAATAGTTGAGATTAAAAATTAGATATATGCAATCCTTGGGCTAGATACATAGTTTCAGCTCTGGCTTGGTTGATTAGTTGATTTTAATTGGATGTTTTTCATGTTAGTATTTGTCTTATTTTGGTTCAAGTAACTGCCTTAAATTTGAAAAGAATTTCAAGTTAGATGTAATGTAAGCCTGGGCTACATTTCAAGAATTCTGATCAAGGTTGTATCACTAGCATCTATTAATCTAGGGAGTCTCTCTCCCACATTAATTCTTAAGGTGGCATTGGTCTCTGATCCGTTTGAAGAAGTTAACCACATTAGTGCTATAGGACCATTATCTTATTGGTTGTGTTCATAGACTTTCTAGGCCAAAAGTTATTAGTTTTTTCATTTCTACACCAGTAAAAATATTATCCATCAGGGTTTACGCCTACTACTTGGTGCTCCTTGATTATTGATCATGTGGTAGCTATCTTTTGATGCATCTTTTAACTCCCTGCTGGAAGCTGAGTTGATTCCTTGTTCCAGGTGAGTGTACGAGTTAGAGACAAAGCAGATCATAAAGTTATGAGCATTGAGGACCTACTCAAACATTTCAGAGACGAATTTGCAGCTTTCCATTGATGCTTTCCTTGTGAAAACTGTTGAAGAAAATTTTCAGCACCGACCTTAGTTGTACACATTTGTTGCATCATTTATATTTTCAACCCAGTAATTTTTCCTGATTTTATATATGATTTGAATTATCACTGTATTTCATTTCCGTCACTACTAAGTTAATTTGAATGTTGGCAATTTGGTAGATCCTTGTATCCTTAAAACGTTTTTGTCTACATTCCCATTTATATCAGCTTTCAAGTTTACACGCCTCTTGAAATTTTATATTTTCTTTTAAGTTGGTGACTGACATTTGAGGAAAATATAATTTTGAGTCGACTCGATAATTGTTAGTAAATTGTCGGATAGTTTTTCTTAGGATCCAGGATTCATTCTCTTGGTTGGTTAATATCATATGATTGTACTAAGTCACTCAACTGAAATCATCATATATAGCATGGTGAAGAACACGTTCAAACTGCGTCCTCTCAAGGATAGTTTGAGGTTCAAAGTTTCCAGCTTTTTCCTCGACACAAATGAAGTTGAATCTGCAACTGGATGAAGATAATTTTGGGCATGGGAGCTCTGCAATTCACATTTCCCTTGTCACAAGTGAAGTTGGCAAAGTTAGAATTCTTTTAACTAATCAAATGATCTCGTCCGTTCCTTAATTTACTTGTTTGGTTAGCAAAGAAAACGAAGTCACCAAGGCAGGCTCAGAAAACGGTGAAGGGTTTCCTAGAATATTTCAAGTCTTTGGGGGTTAAAAGACAAGGAAGAAATCGCAATGCTTTCTACCCTTGTCTTATGAACAGAAATGAAAGTCCGAGAGTTCAATAATAATCATGATATTATCTCATCAGAATTGTAGAAGCTTTTGATTTACATCTCCCTTCAGATTTATTTTATTTCACTTTTTTATTAATGTTTTTAAATTCTTTCAGCAAGTATTTACTTATTGGTCTAAATTGTCATTATATTATTATTATAGCAATTTGTTTTGATTAAATACATCTTCTCCATCGCTAAAAAAAATTGACAAATCAAATACATTCGTATGATATTTTATATTTTATATTATTAGTCATTTTAATTTTGATGTATTTGTTGCTTAGGATGTTAATTAACTTTGAAGGTGAGAATTTATTTGATAAGAAATAAAAAAAAAATTGTAATTATTTAATAGAGTAGAATTAGATGAAAAATAAAAAGAAGTTAAAGTATTTTAAAATTGTGTCTTATATAAGTAGATTTCATGTATATATATATATATATATATATATATATATATGTGGT